CCACCCAGCACGGCAGCACCGTGCAGCACCTCTGAGGTGCCCGGGAGCGCCCCCGGGACTCCCAGGGTCCAATCGCAGCAGACTCCAGCCCAGCAAACGGGAAGGAAAAAGGGAGGCGAGGTGAGGCAAGGTGGGGGTGGGAGAGGAAGGGGCTTGTGCTGATGGGAGGGGGGCAGGTCAGGAGAAGAAAGGGGAAGGCACCAAGGGGTTGGGGTGCAGGAGAGACTAATGTGGTGGGGGGGACAAGTGCAGACAATGAGGAAAAGGGCAGGAGGGGAGGTGTCAGTGGGAGGGGGGACAGGGTGATGCTGAGAGAGGAGAGGGTAAGGGCACTGGGGGCTGGAGGGGGAGGTGCTGGGAGAAGGCTTGAAAGAAGGGGTGGGCATGAGGAAGGCAGGTATGGAGCAAGGCATCGGTGAAGACACAGGGGCAGGAGAGGAACGGGGGCAGAGGGTGGGTATCAGGGAAAAAGAGAGCAAAGGGGGCAGGTGCCAGGGGATTCTGGGGGTGAAGCAGAAGGGCAGACACCTGCAGGGGAGGAACCAGCACCAGAGGAGAGAGGCAGGGCAGATATGTAGAGGGAGGTGTTAGGAGAGGGGATGAGGAGGGGTAGCTCACATGATCAGAGTGGGTAGCTCACATGATCAGAGTGGGGCTACTGGAGGAGTGGGCACAGGGGGGAGAGAAGGGCTGGTGGAGGAGGGGCAGGTCTCAGGAAGGCTGAGGGCAGTGAGAAGGGCAGGAGTCAGGACAGCAGAGGAGGGTGAGGGGTTGGGGAGCAGCAGGTACCAGGGGAGTTGATGGAGCAAGGGGAGGAGACATGGCAGCAGAGGAGAAAGGTAGATATTTATTAATAACTTGGGTGCCACAATGGCACATCTAAACAAGCCACACGAATTCAGTACTGGTGCACAACACAAAATTGATTCTGCTCATGGGATGTCCAGGGGTGCACCTTTGCACTGATTCAACTCTTAGAGGGAACACTCCCCGCCCCACAGCCTCTCCACCCCCGCATTAATGTCACACACATTGGATTAATGCAATTGTAGGATAGTTGCATGGGGGGGCAAGCTAATCCCTATTGGTAGGAGGATGGTGGGAAAAGTCCTTGGGTCAGGGGTCACATAACACTTTTTACTTTTGGTCATGTGCCCATCTTGCCTGGAGAGGGTTACCTCCAGGGGCGTGGTTAACAGGGGTCAGAGGTGTGTCTAACGGGTCAGGGGTGTGGCTAATGGGGGGTCAAAGTGACCTCCTGTCTATCATAGTAGCTAAGTTTTGATTGAAGCAGATATCAAAAAGGCATCTAGTCTTTGTTAGAAGACATCAAGAAATGAAGAATCTGTCACTTGCTTTGGTAGTTTGTTCCAATGGTGAATCATCCTCACTATGAAATATTTGTGCCTCATTTCTCATACGAATTTGTGTGTCTTCACCTCCTAGCCACTGGTCTTGTTCTGCCTTTTTCAGTGACATTAAATGGCCCTTTAATACCTGACATTTTCTTTCTAGGAAGGCACTTAGACACCCTAATGAAGTCATCTCACTGCCTTCCTTTGTAGAAGCGAAACAGATTGGGCTCCTTTCAATAGCTCATAAGAAGGCATTTTTCTTCAGCCCTCAAAACACAGAGCTCTTTGCTGTTCCATCTCCAATTTTTCAACACCTTGTTAAAAATGAGGCCCCTAAATCAGGGTATAATGTCCAATCTCAGTCTCACTGATGCTGTTTCACCTCCCTGCCCTACTTACTCCTCTGCTCATATGTTTAATAATGGCTGTAGCCATATTCACCACAGCATCGCTGTGGGAGCTAGGGATGTTAAAGACTAGTCAACTATCTGATAAGCAAATGCTTATCAGACAGTTGACAAGTCGACTAGTTGATTCCCTCCCTTGTTGCCTCTATCAGATAGAAGCAGCAAAGGGGTGGAAGAGAGGGGTATTTGAAAGCAGGAGCTCTGCACAGCTAATCCCAGCTCAGCTGTGTGGCGCTGTGTGTGGAGCCCAGAGTTAGCTAATCCTGGGTTCCGCGGCAATGCTGCGCTGGAGCCCGGGATCAGTTGGGGAGTCCCCAGCAGACCCCAGCTCTGCGTAGCATTTCAAAGCAGCAACGCAGCTGAGTCCCCCGCTGACCACAGGCTCCATGCTGTGCTACTGCTTTGAAATGCACAAGAGCCCCCCGCTGCATTTCAAAGCTGGCACCCTCGTGCAACCTGGAATCAGGGGGACTTCCCACTGGCCCCAGGCTGCACACAGAGTTCCGCATTCCCAGGGGCCCAGCCAGGCATGCAGGTTGGAGAGCACTGGTCAGTCATTTCCATTCCCAGGTGAGAGAGATGTAGGGAATGTGCGTGTGCCACCTCTCCCCATGAAAATCTTAAAGTGAACTCTTCAAAAGGACTCAGGGACTGGGGTGCTCCTATTGTTACGGTGCTTGGACAAAGGAAGGAGGTCAGCCTCCAAACCCAAGATCTAGCCTCAATCCACCACTCTGCCAAACTACCTGCATGAATCATAGAATAATAGGGTTGGACGAAACCTTAGGAGGTCATTGAGTCCAACCCCCTGCCCAAAGCAGGACCAACCCCAACTAAATCATCCCAGCCAGCACTTTGTCAAGCCAGGACTTAAAAACCTCTAGGAATGGATGACTAATCCCACTGCTTCCATAATGTGCAGTGGGGATGAAACATCCCCATCTCCCAGGTGATTTCAGGTACATCATATAGTATTCTTAAGGACAGGAAATGGCTTATCTGCACAGCCTTTGGAGCATCCCATCGCCACCTCCTTCCCCATTCATTGCATTTGTTCTCTGCCCCACTCTGGTGCCCAACCGCTATGCAGTATTTCTTTCTTAACAGGGGTGGGGTTAGTCATCTTGCTGTTAATTTGAACATCTGTACTGTGTAGCTCTGATTGATTGCCACTGAACTCGCTTGAATACGAATAATTTTACCAGGTGTCCAGTATTCAAGGAATATACTGGATATACTTTATATCATGGTCACTCTTCATTTGGTAGATGCCACCCTAACCCCTCCCCCACATTAAAAAGGAACCCAGCAAAGCCAGTAGAAGGAGGAGGAGCCAAACTCTTGGGCTGTGTCTACACTGGCCGCGAGTTCTTGCACAAGAACACTGATGTTCTAATATATGAAATCAGTGCTTCTTGCGCCAGAACTCTGGTGCTCCCGCTCAGGAATAAGCCCTCTTGCACAACTGTTCTTGCTCAAGAGGCCAGTGTAGACGGGCACCATTAATTTCTTGCGCAAGAAAGCCCTAAGGTTAAAATGTCCATCAGAGCTTTCTTGCGCAAGAGAGCGTCTACACTGGCATTGATGCTCTTGCGCAAAAGCACATCTCTTGCGCAAACGCACATGCCAGTGTAGACGCTCTCTTCTGGAACAGCTTTTGCATAAGAACTCTTCCACAAAAGAGTTCTTGCGCAAGATCATGCCAGTGTAGATGTAGCCTAGGAGCCCAGAGAGGCTCAGATAGCATTCCGATCCTATTTTAAACATCAACCCAGTCTATTGTGCGTGCCTGCATGATCTGCTCTACTCATATGGGTGGATCTTATATTGTGGTCACTAGTCAAAGCTTGGAATAGTGCCACCATCTTTTGCCCCTTGCAATTCTACTCCTCACTAAAAGATAGTATTGAAAAATCAAATCACTGGGCTTAGTAGGGTAGCATCAGTAAACAGCAGAAGGGAAATTTTACGTTTTTTGGAGGGGATTAACATTATTTTTTAAATTTGGGTGTGCAGAGTTAGGAGGGGTTAGACACTTTTGGGAGTGATTAAAATTTAAATGCAGTTGCTATTTATAACCGTTTCCATGACTGGAGAATCCTTGAAAGTGGAAATAAAATACAACATGCTGATTCTTTTTCTGAATAGGACAGTGTACTTAGGAAGCTCTTGATTGACTTGTAATGAGTGTTTACTCATTTATTAATTATTACTATTGGATAACAGGAGACTGGCCAAATACTAGATAGTGGATAGCAGGGAACTGTCTTGTAGAGTCACTCACAAAAATTCGACACTCTCCGCAGGGGGCTGAACAAAGACCCCAACTACCTTACCCATTACAAAGATAGCTTCCCCAGTTATCACCTCTAATACCATTAACTCACAGACATCTCCGCTTCCCCACCTCTAATATCATTAACTCACAGGCATTTACCTTCCTTTTCCCCCCTGTATCCCCCCTCTGTTCTGTAATGTGATTTGTCCTTTTCATATGTGTTCATTTTTTTTAATTGTATCCTTTGGTATATATGGTTGAGACTATTTTCTTCCACTATTTGATCTGAGGAAGTGGGTCTGGCCCACGAAAGCTCATCAGCTAATAAACCATCTTGTTAGTCTTTAAAGTGCTACATAGTCCTGTATTTTGTTTTATAATGACCTAACATTTCCCAGTAGTGTTTCCACTCTGACATTCACAGCTGGAAAGACGCCGCAGAGGGCGATCGAGACCGCAAACATGTAGTAACTTCGACATAACTTTGCACACCCATCAGAATCTTCTATTTGGCGGAGCCTGGGAGGAGGTTCCTAGAGCGGGGTAGGGAGGCCACGCTGTGCTGTGTCCCCCCCGCGGCGCTGCTGCCGAGGAGCGCGGGAACTGGCCGTGGGGTCAAGCTGTGGGGCTTCCCCCGTTGCTGCTGCTGCTGGTGGGGAGCGGGGGTCGGGGCGCTTGGTGTCCGGGCAGTCGCAGAGCCAGGCCTGCGGGGGAGGGGGCGGATCCTGTGCCGCTGTGTAGAAGCCCGAGATGAATCCCAACGTCGCCCTTCCTGAGTTTTGCAATCTCCCACCAACGCCCCTTTGCCCCCCTCCCTTCTCTTTTGTTGCTAGCAGCCAGCAGCAGCCGCTACGCAGATTAAACGCTTCTCGCCTCCAGAGCGCCCCGGGCACGTGCTTCGGCAGCCGCGTGGCTCCCTGCGGAGCGGATGCCAACCAGCGTGGGGACCCACCAGGGGCTGGGGCTCACCTGTGCAAATGGGCCTGGCCCCCGGTCGGGGGCGCGCCCCAGCCACGCGACGGAGGGGGCTGCCCGCCAGCGGGGCTATAGAGGGGAGCACACCTGGCCTGCGCCCCGCCGCAACGCGCGCGTTTACACGGGCCGAGGCGCGTTTCCGCGGCACCTGCTCTGCACAAAGCCGGCCGGCTCCCCACACGGCCAGGGCGGGCTTCTAGGGCAGGAGCGGGCGGATTGGCCGCCTCCCCCAAGGTTACGAGCCTTGAAGTGAAGGGCGCGTGGAGCCAGAGGTTGCCCCCCCGTTCCTCGAGTGCGCAGCTCCGCCCCACGCCGCTCGGCAGGGGGCTGCGGTGCGCCGGGCAGGGCAGGGGCGGCACAGGCACAGAGCCGCGCTCGCGTGCCGCTCGCCAGAGGCTGAGCCCTGAGCGCGCCCCGGGGGGAGCTGCCAGCCCGGGCTCCGGCGGCGGCTGGAGATGGAGCAAGCGCCGGGCTCCCGGACGGTCACCACAACGCGCAGCTCCTTCACCGCCGGCTTCCCGCCGGCCGGCGCCAGCAGCACCCTCGCCTACGACAGGGAGTTCCTGAGAACCGCGCCCGGCGGCCTCATGCTGGCCGAGATCGTGAGTTGCCCGGCCGCTCTCTGCGGCGTCTCTCCCGGGGGCTGCACGCGGGGACCGGCTTCTTTGCCCGCACTGCCCTAGGAACGTTCCCGCGCCGGCCTGGCTGGCGCTGGGGTGGAACCGGTTCCAGGGGTCGGTTAAGTAGCGCGGTCGCCCCGGTTTGCATTGTGAGCTCGGGTGTGGGGTGATCTGGAGTAGCGCCAGTCCGCCCCTTGCACTGTAGTTCAGCCTTACAGCTGGGTCAGTATCTCGTCCCGCAAAGCAGGCTCTGCACAAACCTCCCTCCAGCATGCAGACAGTAGGGTAGCCCCGTGCAGTCTGTCCCAATGATGTGCCTGAGTGGAGCTCTTTCCAGGAGCCCGGCCTATGCTGCCTTTTCACCCCCGGCACAAAAATGAGTTGTTGTTTTTTTAAACAACGTTGTTATGTTTTTCTGTTCAAATATGTTAACTTTCAGGTTCAGGGAACTTGGAGATTGAATCATTTTTGCAGACCAATGCAAAAAATAATAGTTTTTAATACAGAAAAGTCAGATACATCTGTTTTGCTCCGTGTAATGTTAAATATGTATTTATCATCATTCATTGAAGATTTGTGAATGCTGGATCATATTTGCAATTAACTATTTAATTAAAATTGTATTATAATATCCTGTGAGTATTGGACTAAAATGTAACAGCACTGTGATGTCAGCATCAGAGCTTATACATCATTTTTTGTCCAGCGTTAATTAAATTTGAATAATCGCCAAAGAGCTTTAATGTCCCTTTAGTACAATGTAAGTGTGAAGGTCTAGCCACACAGATCAGGTGGTGGGGTCTAAATCAAGTAATTGCAAAACAATAACTTTTCTATCAAGTTATATTACATTTCCCATTTTTAGACTCCATAGGACTGTCAAGAGCTTAGTCCCCAAAATCTACTCTTTAGAATCATAATAGGCAAGATAATTTTGGCTCCACCTAACTTTTATCCCCAATGTATTGATAGCAACAATTGCAATGTTTCCTGTACTATACTACAATCAAAATTCTTGCAAGGCTAATGGTTTGAGTGCTTGCTAGTTCATTGCTTGTTATATTTTACTTGAAATCTCAATAGTAACAGAGCACACTTGACTTGGGTAACAAAATTAATATAGTTTTAAATGATAAATGCCAAGTCCTTGTCTTGTAAAGACCCATAAAACTTGATGGCATAAACATATATACAGAACAGGGGCTGTGCTCTTTTGTCTGTTTTAATGTTTGTGATATCAACAACTCTTATAGTAGAGCAGTGTTTCTCAAACTGTGCTCTGCGGAGCCTGAGACATCTCCAGGGGCTCCGCGAGGTTGACAAACTGGAAATGTCGATAGGTACAACATATACAATCAGTGGACTGCTGGGGCTCCGCATAAATTTTTACACATGTGAAGGGCTCCGTAGCCCAAAAAGTTTGAGAACCACTGTAGTAGAGGAAAAACAGTCTTGGCTGATCAGGAGCAATTTTTCAAATATTTTGTTTTACATGTTTATACAGTGCACTGGTAATATTTATGAATTAACTCTCATAACACCCTTATAAGAAACTTACCCCAGGTCTATACTGTGGGGAAAGGTTGGCTTAAGGTACACAATTCCAGCTACATTATTTAAGTAGCTGGAATCAGCAATGTTCTCTCTCTCTCTTTGTCTCTCTCTCTGATCTTTCAAAGTGAGTAAGATTTCCCCTTGGATGCCAATAACCGATGAGTATGTACATGAGAAATTAGGCCAGTTCTGGCAAGGAACATGCTCTGGCAGTGGCTACATATGAGGTCTCTATCTCCAGCGGTGCTGACACTAGTGGGTGCCAATACAGGCCTGGACACACTCCTTACGTTGGGCTCTCTGATCGTCTTTGTGGAGATGTTGCTTGATTTCAGAGTGTTGGGCACCGTTCTTGACGGTGATCCTTCACCTGCCTCTTCCAGGGTCGGTATCAGTGTCGATGTCACACTTGACCAAGGTTTTTGTAAGAATGTCCCTGTAGCGCTTCCTCTGCCCACCATGAGACCTCATCCCAGTCTTTAGCAGGACATAGAAAATCTGTTTCAGGCATCCTGACCACGTGACCAGACCATAGTAGCTGCCTATGGGCAATTATTGCCTCAATACTGCAAGAATCAGCCTTTGTGAGGACACTAATGTTGGTCTGTCTGTCCTTCCACATGACGCCCAATAGTCTCCTCAGGTACGTTTGTTGGAATTCTCTAGATCTTTAATGTAATCTATAGGGAGCCAGCCGAAGATTCTTTAGCAATGTGGTAATACCCTCTCCATTATCATCAAAGCAAACCAGTCCGAAGAAACTCCAGGCTTATGTGCAGTGCAGATCCTTAGTGGACCTCTGGCAGTAACAGCTGGAGAGGAATTATGTTACATGATACTACCTACTATGAGGAATTAGTAGGAAGTAACTTCTACTACCAACCAAAGTACTTGCATGGGTGAAGCTGTAATTATTAGAGATTGAATGAACAATCCAGAATTCTTAGGCACCTGAAATGTAAACACATTTAAGGTTTTTTAAAATATTGGGATTATTCCAGTATCAATGTTTGGGTAATTTAAAAAAAAAAATCAAGTTACTGTTCACTGTATTTGTGTTCAGAAGAAATGCAACACTCCTTCCCATTGCCTTTTAATGTATTGCAACAAGGTTCTCAAGCCCACACTCATGCTTTCTCTGATAAAAGAAGTCTGAATAGGTTAATTGGAATCTCAGTACAATGTGATACACAACCTGTGGAAGTACTGTATGAAGAGTGTCTAGCACAGGTACAATGGCATGAATTCCATTGGAGACTGAGCTTGTAGTTAAACTTAGCTGTGTGAACGCTCCACCCAGGCAGGGCCTTGAGTAGACTTCTGGGTGGCAGCATGCTTCTTAGTCTTTGCTTAAAGTCTGAGAATGGTTTGCATAGTCTTTCTGTATAGAGTCTAGTGACACCTGTTTTTGCCCTGAGCTTAAAGATGGCAATCTGGAAAAGAATTTAAAAAACTATTTTAGTGACACTTTTATCATCTGTGACTTTTTTAATTTGTACATTTTAAAATTATGTTTGGTATACAAGTTAAGCATGTGCGTAAGTGCTATTCTGCATCAGTCTATGATTGTGGTCATGTCTGCTGAAGGAAGAAATTATGCATCGTCCTGAAAAATAGTCACTAAAGACCACTACAGATGAGTTCTGAGCAATGTACCCTCTAATCTCTTCATCCTTGTACCCTTTTTTTCCCATCCATGTGCAGAATATCTTTTATGTGCACTGAGGCATGTCCAAATATGCACCACCAGTAGAAACAAAAAAACTAGCTGTGGACACTCTGCTAAACAGCTAGGTGGCATTTGAATCTCCCCTGAGCAATTGCAGAGGCTTACAGGGAACACTGATTCTGAGCTATAGCTAGTACTGCTGGTTTTTATCTCCACCAATTATGTCAAAGCTACTGAAATAGAAATTCTTCTAGGTTGGTTTATTTGCTTTCTCCATAACTTTAAAAAAGACAAACCACTGACATAAGGATGATTTTAAAAAATAGAGCTTGCTGTTTAAACGTTAAGTAGTGTCCTCAGATTTTGGTCAACCCCATCTTTCTATCCCCTCCAAAGAAGAAACACCTTGTAACTGGGCATGACTATTTTTAAATACAGGATCCATATTTTAAAAAACAGCATCAAATCACAAGTCCGCTTCTACTGGTCTTGTTCATCCTACATACCAACCCTGCCTCGCATTCGCACACCTAACTTTCTCCTCTTGAGTTTAGTGGTGCTTTAAACCTTGGCTCACTGGCATTGTTGAGTAAACTAAAATTCAGCTGATCTGGATACAGGCTAAATCCCTCCAGTGATGATAGCTCTCTAGTCCCTTCCCCATAACTCTCTCGTTTGTGGCCAGAAGGACAGACAGGTTCTCCTACAATTCCCTGGGAAAGAATTGTAGAGCAGCTTAGCTTACTGGAGAGTAAAGAACTATGGGATAGCTGCCATGAAGTCATAGCTGACACACAGATTACTACAGCACAGTGAGGGTAAGAATCACTTCAGTGTGGCTTTGTCATCCAGCTACTCAGACTCAAGAGAAACTGTACCTAGTGCTCAAACGCAGATGCTGTGGTGAAGCCAGATCTTAGTAGAAGGTAGTGGCAGACATTCCTTTAGTGCAGGGCTACTCAACTTTGGAAGCTCCAGGGGCCACAATGATATTCGCAGCACATGCTGAGGGCCGTAACTTAAGTGTAGTTGCATATACATGCAAATATATATGCCAATAGCTTCTTTCACACTGATGGGCATGAATACAAAGGTTAAGGCAAGACTACACAACACGCAGGCCCCATTTAAGTCAGTTCTGCTGATATTAATAAGATGCTATATTTACCCAATTTCCACCCATATGACAGCACTTTTAATGAGCAATGACAGTCCATGAATTTAACTACTAAAACACATATCAACAGAAGACCATCATATTGACTACTTTTTTGTTTTGGCTCCTACCTGTGGGCCATGTATTGAGCCCCACGTAAATCCAAACCACACGACGGGCTGCAAACGGGCCACATGTTGAATGGACCTGCTTTGGTGTAACCCCACCACAAGATGTCATGCTGCATTTTCAAAGAAGCAGGAATAACCACTTACAGAGTTGTCCAGAACAGAAATATCCTCTCAAAAGACAAGAAGGTGGCTTAGACATATTTGTCTGCTCATCAATTTTATGGATCAGTGAAACAATGACTTGGAGGTACCTCCTCAGTATTAAATCAAGCCAACTGTTATGGAACACTTTGCAAGAGTGGAGAATTTTCTGGTTGCTAAGCATATTGTTATACAAATATTTACTTTGAATGATGAGAGTGATTCCTCCAGGTTGTTGCTGCTCAGAAACACGTTGCTGGATACAGTTTTTTTTAATGTGTTAGTGCATTTAGTCTTTACAATGGCTATTTATTTTAAACAAATACAGTAC